CTGCTGGCTGGAACAGTGCTCTGCCCCTTCTTCCCATGGCAGGTCTCAAGCCTCGCTGTTCTGTAAGGCAGGTGTCATCGTACTCGCCCTGCCTGCTTGTCTGGTTCTTGTCCTCTGCAGTACAGTGCCTCGGTGTTTGCCGCTCTTGTTGCTGCCGGTGTTTTTTCCAAGCACACCCGTGGGGTGCCGCATTTCCTGCAGAAGCGTTAGACCGTAGCTGTGTGAAACTGGGTACAATGGAACAAGGGAAGACGAGGAGAAAGGAGATGAAACTTTCTTCTTTCCCAGCTAGCTAAAAGTCAGCTGTTAAGTAAGGATAATGTGTGATCCAATATGTGAAATATGTTTTTATCTATGGAAAAAATAGTGTGTTGCAGATTTGACCAGAACATGTTTCTCAAATACTCCTATCTGTTAAAAAATGTAAGTATTTCCGCTGTAAATCTCACTACTCCTGTAACTCATGTAGAAAAAAGGAGTACTTTTATATGAGACAGTATTACTATTTTTTTCTGTGCCCCTTTTTGTTTTTCCCTTTAACTAGAGGGAGGGTTTCCACTGACTAGAAATGGAACCACTGTTTGGCTTAGTAAGAGTAAACATGAGCTGACTCTTAAATTATTTTCCCGGTAGGAATTCAGGTTAGGTCTTAATCATTTCTTTGGCTCATCATTAACCATGTCTGACCTGTTCCTGAGCACGTGACCGGTCTGAGAGTAGCCGAGTGGCTTTCATTAGCTGGTAGTTATGTGTTATGAGATCTAGATCGGGTATGCCGCAAAGACAAGTGAAAGGTCTTCTTACTAATACGATATTTCTTCTTACTAATACAGTATTGCTTCTTTTTAATACAAGACTCATTTTCAGATGTGCAAAAAGTGAGATTCTTTTTCTTTTGCATGCGAGACAACTGTCACTTGGGGAAAATCCATTTTGCCTGCATGGTATCATGCATCCTACTTCCTGCGCTGCCCAGGTCCCAAGGTGGACTTACCTTCTATGGTGGCTCACTGCCAGCCCATGGCTGACAAGGTGCTGCTCGAGCAGGGTTACAGCATGGGCTTTGAAAGAGCTGTTCATCTTCATTATATGCAAAGATCTGCCCTGATCTTCAGTGTAGAAGTGGCTGAAGGGATAAGCATGCTTCTGATGGAGGCTGCTGCCATATCCTGGTGACTTTGGTGAAGAACGCCTGCGTGCACACGGTGTGTACCCGTCTGCAGGTCATGAGCAAAGTCCAGCAGCTAGCTGCACGTACCCAAGGAACCTGAGCTGAAGTGTCAGACTTTGCACTGAAATGGATTAAAATCATGCACAAGACCCAGTCAGGCTCTGCTACATGATTTGTAATGCCCAGAAGGACAGGAGGGGCCTCTGGTGGTCCTGTTACTTCTGTCTTCCAGAGCTCCTTGGGAAGCTGGAAGAATCGGGAAACGGGGAAAGGAAAACAATAAAGGGTGAGGTAACCTAGGAACCTGTCAAACCTGTGCTCTGATCTTTGGTCTCTGACTGTTAGCAGTATGTCTGCAGTGCAGTGGTAGGACTTTGAGTTGGGCCTGAGCATTTGGCCCTCCAGGACACTTGAGCATTACTGATGAATTGAGAGGCACCAAAGCAGCTCCCAGGTGCCTGGATGTGCCAGCCCCAACCCTCTTCACAGGGGTGACTAGCTGGGGTAAACGCGGGAGGGAGTACCATTATAAGTACCACCATCAGCAGTGAAGCTGCTTAGGGGCCTCTGTTTTACGAAAAGTAATCCCGGGTTTCCAACAGTTTTGCTCTTCCTCTTCAGTGCCGAGACCCTCTCCCTGCTTGTTTTCCAAATACGGCAGTGGAAGCAGCCAACAGAGATGTTTCTACATTCTAACATTTGGGAGGAGAGGGAAAGGCCACCCTGCTTTTCCCTTGAGAAAACAAAGGGGTAGCGACTTTGACCTAAGAAGTTTCAAAGCCAGTTCTTGCTTTGAATCAATTTCTGTAAGATCTCTGTGTGTACATGTGAGGGAACAAGACACTTTACCTCTGTGATCCAGGTGGTACTGTCTTGAAGCATATTTTAAAGTTTGTTTCTGTCAGAAAAGCTGTACAAGTTCAGAATTCTGGACACGTGTCTGTGACTTAGGTGGTTTGGTGATTATATGTATAATATTATATCAAATGTTTGAATGAGTAGTAGCTACAGTAAGAAATCTGAAAAAAAAACCCCAAACCCAAAAAAACCCCAAAACCAAACCCTAAGCCAAACCAAAAGAATTACAAGGCTATAGAAGAAATATATTTTTCAGCCTGTGTACACTCTAGAATGTTTATATTAATATGAAGGACTACAAAGGATGGATTTCTTTAACTCATCAACCTGCAGATATGTACTGTAAATCAAGATTTCAGGGAGGTCATCTCTCTGCTTCCTGTGTTATCCTGGTCCTACCAACTTGCTTTTGGCTTTTTTATGAGGATAGCTTCAGGAGTGCAGCTGAAGACTGTTAGCCGTAACTTACTGCTCCACCTTTTTTCTCTTTGCTTACTTGAATAAGTGATGTTTCACTTTTCAATGCAGAATACTTTATATGAACAAAAAATTGAAGGGAGAAATGCGATTTTTTTCTGAATAATATCCTTATTGTGACAGGTTAAGGTGAAAAATGCTAAATTAAAGGAAGCCCAGAAAAATTTGTCAGTTCAGTCCTTGGTGTTTTTTTCTTTACTTTATTTTTTTCCCCTTGAGGTTTGAAAGCCTGTTACAACTTTGGTATTTTGATGCATACTTACAGATTTCTTGGTAAAAAGTGTTTTAATTTTGTGGTGAACTCTTGAATCACAAGACCTGAACTGGGATGAACTTCCCCCTGCCTGGGATTGTATAGCTGAGCCACTACGCGGTGCTGGCTTTTAATTTCCCTTCAATTATCTACTTGTGTTCAGTTTTAGAAGCAGGATAAATATATGTTTAACTTGGAATGCAAATATTTTAAGTATAGGCTTTATTTCAGAGATTTTTTCAAGTGAGAGCCTTTATTTAGAACACAAACCTGGTTTTTCATTACTTGCAGTTAAATAATGCATCTCTAGGTGGCGGTAGGACACCCCGGTACTTTTTTTGTCTGCAAAACGGCTGAGAACGGAGTGCTTGCAGTTTGTTTGGGGGGGCTGGGTTTTTTTATTCTCCCTGTGAAAGTACATACAGAATAACTGAGCAGCTTGGCTCTTGAATCGGAAGGGAGAGTGCCTTGGAACAAATAAAGGGCAATTTTTGCTCAGTTTTGTAGACATTAAAACTTCACACTGTTGAAGATAACACCAGCCAGGTATCTTTTTGTTTGTTGGTTGGTTTGTTGTTTTAAAACAATGCGTTATACTGAATATAAGAAGGCGGCTTAATTGCTGGGATTCGGTCTTCGCCAGCGCGCGTGACCACCTCCGGCTGCCATGGAGCAACTCGCAGGCCCTCCGGCCCCAGCAGGTTGGAGATCCCTACCAGGACGGGATGGTGGCAACTGGTGACAAAGTTCAAACATTTTCATTTATGTTTTGCTGCTTTTCAGCTCAATTAAAATAGAAACCACATGAAGCCCATCTTACAGTGCTGCTCCCTCAGTAATTCTTTTAGTAGCTTATGTCGTCTCTATTCCCCCGAAGAATTCTGTCTTGAAGTATTTGATTTTTACCTCATGCAAAATTTAGGTACTAACTTTCCCCTCTTTTTAATGTCTTTGTTACTTTGGTCTGCACAGAGGGAACGGGCTGTAGCAGTTGTCGACATCATGACGTTATGTAAAGCAGTGTAGAAAATCCAGTGTCATCTAATTCCCTGGAGACTTGTTATGAAACAAAGATTAGAATTAATATTCTTTCTAAAAATGCTCTAAGGAGTTCCAGTTTTATCTAACTGTGTAACGTGAGTCACAGGTAACTTTCTTCTTGTAACTGAAGTTCTGTCTGTTACTACAGATCTCTTCCATAGTATATGGAAAAATAGTCTTTGTTATGGTTTTCCTCATTATTTAGAGATACCTTTTACTGCAATTTTGATTGTCTTTAGGGGAAAAAAATATAGCGTGCTAGTAAAGCGAGCATCCCACGTACTATCACACTGTCGTATTTTCTACTGACTGTGGTACACCAGTCTGCCTGGGGAGGGCCACAGAAACACAAGGAAGACAAGTCTGCTAGCTGAGGTCAAGCACAAATAAGTTACTTTGCATATGTATTCTTTCATTTTAGAAGATGTGAGGGTGTTAAGCTGAGATAAAGCACGTCGAAGATATTAGTTTTGCAGGGTGATAAACTGCATATGCTTGAAGTGTCTGTCCATTTTTCTCCTTGCTTTCTCTTGTGACAGTGAAATATATTAAGCTGAAAATAAGGCTCAGTTGATGTGTCACTTTTTGCAGTACAAAGCTAATATATTTTATGAAATGCATTTTAAAATCACTGGTGGTTTGTATCCCATGTTTAAAAATCTAAGGATCTGAAAACTGCAATTTAAACCTGGACACTTGACCTTTTTTTTCTTTGTTAATGCACTGTAAGCCCATGAATGCTTTGTTGCTGTCCCTTCATTAATGCACTCCTTCTGAAATATTTGTGTATGATAATGTCATGGCAGCATTTCATATGGCTTTCCAAAGTGACAAGCATAAAATATGATTAAACCAGAACAAGAATTGTGCTGCTTATTTTAAAAACTAATGTTAAAAGGACTGGTTTATCCATATTATAGTGAAACCATTGACTGATCTTTAAATTGCCTGTTTCTACCTAGACACTTCAGTACACTCCCCTCCTTTGTAAGAAAGCCTGGGCTTTGTCTTTAACTTGTCAAAAACCATTCACTAGTTGTTCTGAGATTTCTTAAGTGAAGTCTTTGTAGTAGGTTGAAAGAGTCTTGAGTTTCAGTTTCTCTCAACTCCTATTGCTTTAGAAATGTCAAGCAAAAATGCATAGAATTAAGTGGGAATTGTCTATGGCCCATTAAAATTTCTTTTCCTCTTCACAAACAGCTGCTGAAATACAAAGAATATTACATCAGCTTGGAACACCACAGGACACGCCTGAGTTGAGGCAACAGCTGTGAGTACTTCACATGAAAACATTTAATTTCATTGCATTGTAAACAATCTCCTAGTAGGTGCTGAGGTGGGTTTTTTGTTAGGCAGAGTTCTTGATCTCACCAAGAAAGGTGAGTACAGAGAAATACTTGAAATTTAAGTATTGATATACCCTTTTTAAAACTAGTCTTGGATAGCCTGTGTAAACTAGAGGCAGCTCGTTTGCCCATGTACATTGCATGCACTATCCATACATCTATAAAACCTGTGCTGTATGTCTGTGTTGTGGTTTAACCTGGCAGCTGGCAACCAAGCACCTCACAGCTGCTCGCTCACCCCTCCCCTTCCCCCCACTGGGATGGGGAGGCGAAATGGACAAAAGGGGCAACTTATGGGTTGAGATAAAGACAGTTTAATAAGTCAACAAAGGAAATACTACTAATAACAATTATGATAAAGAATAGCAAAACAAACTATATACAATACAGTTTTTTCACTGCCTGAAAATGGGTTTGCAGCCAGTCCCCAAGCAGTGACAGTGGAACCTGGAACTCGTGGATTTTGAGAATTTTGCAAAAGTCCCAAAAAATAACTAACTCCCAGAAAAGTTTAAAACTTACAGTCAAGAGAGGATTCAAACTCACAGAAAAAAGAAAAAAAAGGAGGGAAAAAAACCCCAAACATTCCTGCCCCCTGTCCAACCCCCATTCATAAACTGAGCATGACATCTAGGGTATGGAATAGTTCCATTGGCCACCTTGGGCTGGCTGCCTGTCTGTGCTCCCTCCCAGCTCCTGCACACCTGCTCAGTAGCTGCACATGGGAGACTGGAAAAAGTCTTTGATATCATAGCAACAGGTGAAACCGTCAGTGTTACCAACATTCTTGTGGTACTAAGTCAGAAACACAGCAGCTACTGGGAGGAAAATTAACTCTATCCCAGCTGAAACCAGGAGAGTCAGCAAAGGGAAGGGGGCAGAACAAAAAAAGGGGCAGAAAGTACTGTTGCTGCTTTAAAAACAAATGTTACCCCCTTCCACCCCAATCAGCTCTTCAAATCTGTCTGTGTAAGTTTCACAAGGTAATAAATGTATTGGGGTTTTTTGTGAGATGTGATACTGTGGAAGAGAGGGTAAAGTCTTTTTGGTGATGAAAGATACAATAAGGGATGACATTATAGAATAAACATGTGCCAGAAGTCCTAAAGGAGCAGGAGTGAAATAAGGTTCCAAGGCAGATTTTCTTCTATAGTTCAGTCACCTGAAGGTAGAGCTTCATGAATATGCCACTGACCAAGAGAGTCAGCTGCCCTCCACTTATCTGCACGGTCTAATGAACCGTTATGATTTTTTTTTTTCCATTTAACTCCTTTACCACATTAATCTTGGCATCATAAATGCACGTAAGCAACGGTTTGTGCTCACTCTGTGGGCAAGAAAGTTGGCAGTCTTCAGTGTGGTTAATGTCATTATGAGGCCATTGAATTATAGGAGGAGGTGTCTATTGGACCAGAGGCATCACATTCATTTTGTGTGAACAATGAAATTGCTTTATAATAGCCTGAGTTCAGGGCCCATAACATTAGCCAGGTTACAATCAACACTGGCTACTGGAGACTGAATAGGTGAAGGTGAACATGCACAGTTTGTGCAATAACCAGACAGGATCTAGGCATAAATTCACAACTAAACAGGATAGAAACTGTTGTGACGGACATGTTCCAGTCCCTCTATGGAGGTAATATATATGGCAAGCTTCCCTGAGTTGTCTGATGGTCTCTTTTTCACTTCTCTGAACATTTGGCCATTCTTTTCATGTTGGTATATATCTGAACAGTTATTTGATTATTTTAAATATTGATGTTGATTTTTTGCTAATAGCTTTCCAGGTAAAACTTTTTTGTATACAGTGGGGAGGAGGATGCAAAAGCAGGTAAAGAATTTGAGTTGCTCCAGGAAAAAAATACAATTGGTAAAGGAGCGTGTGATAATATCAGAAGCAAAGAGAAAAAAAGCCCCAAAAATAGCAATGCTGTTGAAGACAAGGTTTCTTTTGAAGCACTGTTAAAGCTATTAATAAGTAATGAAGTTTTCAACTAAGTTCACAGCAATTGTAATATGGGAGAAAATAGGTCTCTTTGGATAAGCTTTCCTGTAACTATCAGAAATTGACCTTTCATGGGCTGTATTATATTTAAGCCACACAAAAAAACTTGGTCTTTTCTACGGTTATTCTGAACTCATAATTGACCAGGTGTTTCCAACTATTGGTAGCCTCAAAAGGACTATGAAAAGCGTGTTTAGATACTCATAATAACTAGAAACCTATTACTGCACATTAGGAAAATGGAAGAAACCTTAAAAAAAAAAGTGAGTAATTATATTGTCACATTGAGGAACACACATTCTTCGGCATCTGTCTTGCCTGGAATCCTTGATGTTGTGCCTTTACAGTGAAGAACGTAATAAAGATGGCTTCGTGCGCTTTAGAGAAGCATTTAGCACTGCTGCTTTTTTAAGAATGGGTGAAAGTCAAATGAAGTAACCCAGTGGTCTCTAATGAAACTTTGTATTTGGTTTTAGGCAACAGAAGCAGCAATACACCAACCAGCTTGCCAAAGAAACTGACAAATACATTAAAGAGTTTGGATCTTTGCCTGCAACAAGTGAACAGGTATAAAACCAAAGAGCATGGCTTGTTTGACTGTCGTGTTGCCTAATGTACAGTATTTGAGTGACTTCAGTTCTGCATGCCTATTTTTGTGCTCCTCACCAGACTTCCAAAGCATTGTTTCATTAGTCAACACCTTTGCACAACAGGGACACCTGCAACACAAGAGTATCTTGTTGCAGCCCAGACTTGTTCCAAAGTTGGTTTTATGTATCAGGAATGAGGTAGTTCGGCTGAAATGGCAGGAATGAAGGCAGTGTGCTATGCCTGTGCTTTCAGGTAGCTGGGCACTTTGCGATTTGTTGCAGTGATGCTAACTCTGACTGCTTCCAGGGGCAAGGAGTTGTGTGTCAAAACTCCTTCAAGGGCTGGTGGCCAGACCTGTTCACCCACTGTCCGAATAATTTGATTATGCACATAGATCTGTTCTACATCACTCAGGTCAGCATATATGCTATGTCTTGTCCACAGGCTTTTCCGTTCTGAAGACGAGTGGACAGGAGCTGTTACTAAAACAACTTGGGCAGTCTTAAAACTGCTTTTTTGTGTAAAATCTCGGCAGAAGGTAACGTGAAGTGGCTGTTGTCATTAGCACGCTCCTGCCTGCCATCCTACAGTTTCTTACCCTAGCGAAATCTGTCAGTTAGATAAGGGAAGAGCAGCAAGATGCCAGAAAATGTGAGTTCAGGCTACTGTTGCTCAAACAACTTGCCTGGTCCTTGGCTGGTTACCAAGGAGCCTTTACGAAAATGAATTGTACTGAAACACTGAATTCAAATAGCAAGCCAGGATCCACATGTGCTCATCCTGTCAGGGTGTAAACTTCTAACAGAGATGTTAAAACTTGGTCTTGGTATATCTCTAGTTACATAAAGTATGTTTGGGGTTTTTTTTTCTGTTTCTCTGTTTATCATGGAGCTGAAAAGTTGGCTGTGAGATGTTTTGCTGTTTTAATTTTACTCCTGATGAATTTTACTCATGATATTTTTTTGTTGTGAGCATATTCATAAGAGCTACCTCTCAATGAAATGCATGAATGGCAAATTATAGCCTCTCAGAAGTTTGGAAGGAAGGGTTGGTGTAATGTATACATTTAGGGAAATATGGCGGAGGCTCTCCTGAGTGCCCAGTATTCCTTTTCCCTCCCCACATCTTCGGGAAGAAGAAAAAAAAAAAAGAAGGAAAAAGAAGGAGGGGGGAAAAAAAAAAAGGCCTGAATGGTTAGAACTGGTATTTTTGTACCACTTCTGGGTGCAGCTCAGTACATATTTTCAGCATTTATGTAAAATACATGTGGAGTGCCCTGTCCCTGCCCATTTCTTTCTTTTCTGCACCCTTCCCCCTGCCGCTTCAGTCACCTGTGCATACTTTAGCATCTACAGTATCAAAGTATTTCACACTTGAACAGTAGGTTTTGTAAGCAACAGATAATGAGGAAGGTAGCAGTTTTCTTATCCCTGCCTATTTCTCATTTCCAGATGTTAAATGAAACTAAATACATTTGTTTCCTCTTAAATGCCTTAAATTGTGGCAGAGTTATGTGATCTCAGAGGGAAGAAAAATTTGCCCATGCAGTTATGGTTTTGTAGGCAGCCTTCCTGTACACCTGTTAAGAAAAAAGAGTATATGCCTTAGCACTGAGCAGCCTGGAAACGGCAGAGCCTTGAAAAGCCTGAGTTCGTTTGACTTGGTAAAACTTTTTCTCCTATAGCGTCAAAGAAAAATACAGAAAGACCGTCTTGTGGGGGAGTTCACCACAGCACTGACAAATTTCCAAAGACTCCAAAGGCAAGCTGCTGAGAAAGAAAAAGACTTTGTAGCCAGAGTAAGAGCCAGCTCAAGGGTATCTGTAAGTATCTGAAAATGTGCCATTATATTCTGTTTACAAGGGTGTTGGGTGGTGTTCAGTGTCAAGTTTGCCTCTGTAATGAACTTACAAAAGCTCATATGACTCCAAATACTGCAGAATGTGTGCTATATGATTAAAAGTATATGATTATAAGCTTTCTTATGCATAGCTGAATTACACAATTCATTTTATAGTAAAGGCTGAATTAAGTTGTAATAACACACACCCACCCGCTCCATCCCTCCCTGAGAACTGTTACATTTTCCTTGCCTTTGTCACACAAAAGCAAGAACTGCCCCAGGGTTCATGCCATAATTTTGCAAAAGCAATGTTTAGTAGATTTTGAAATGGTTTTGCTGGACCTTTAGCTAGCAACATATGTTTTCCTACAGGGGAGAATCACATGCCAGATTTCTGTGCAGTGTTAAAGTGGAGAAGTGCCAAGGAGCTAGAGATGTTGAGCTTTTCCTTGTTAGCATATCAATTTTGTCTTTTCACTCTGTGCCAAATACACATTGCTGTACTTGTAAATTTTAGCAGGCAGTTACTGAGCTGAATATTTTTGCTTGTATTTCAGCTTTATGCATGTGTAAAGCAAAATCAGGACGAGAACATGTTAAATCATGTTTCAGTTTGAAGTTGGCTTACTATAAACTTTGTAATATTGACTTGTTATATAAATGTTGACAGTGCTCCTTTCAGGGCCCTGATGTTTTTTTATTTTTTTAAACACTGATCATTTAGGGTGGTGCTCCTGAAGATAGCTACAAAGAAGGAACACTTGTCTCTTGGGACAGGTAGGCTGAATTTGTTAATAAGTCTTAACCTAGCTCAGAATGATAAATGGCTTGCAGGGAAGCCAGCTGCCAATTTCTTTTTTATTATTTTTGTTTTTTCTGATCAATTGCCTTTTTCTGAAGGGAGTTGGAATAAGTTGTTCAGTTAGGCTTTCTTCCATAGGGCAAGTATCAAGAAGAGGCTTTGGTGGGATAGGTGGGAAGAAAAAGGAACAATTCACCTCACCTCCCCCTTTTTTCCCCGTGCTTCAGCTTTAGTCATCTCCTTAAGCTGCCCTGAGTCTGTATTTGGACTTTGAGACCCAGACTTAGGTAAGCAGAGTCCAGCCTCTGAATAGAGTAAGACTGTTAAGTTGTGATAAGGGTCCAATGTTTACTGGGATTTCCTATTGCTTTCATACACTCAGAGAACTGCTTCTCAGTCTCAGATTCTGTTTTGTTGGCTTCCTTGCTTTTGCCTCAGATGGATATAAACTCTGCAGTTTGTAATTCAGAGGAAACTTTGCCCTTGTATTCATACTTGGAATTTCCAACCATGCTAGTTCAATGTTGTATGCAGCATTGCTACAGCAACAGCTTCCTATACCAAAGGTGTGACTGCTAGGCCTTCCCTGTTAGCTAGGCAGGCAAGGGTAAAAATGTGCATTTTGTTAACTGATAATATAAAGCATGTGCTATGTATTTAACTGTCATTTTAGTCTTCTGAGTTATTTCTTATTGTTCCTTCTCAATTCTGGGTGGGTTTTGGTTTTTTTTGTTGTTGGATAGTCAACCACAAGCACAAGTGCAAGATGAAGAAATTACAGAAGATGACCTCCGTCTTATTGAGGAGAGGGAATCTTCTATTAGGCAGCTTGAGGTAAGTACAAGTGGGTTTACAGCAGAATATGCTTTTAATGTTTCCAAAGAAAAAAAATTTTACAGTGGCATGAGCATTAATTACAGACATTAATCTTGAGGGGTTAGGGTTTGTTTGTGGGTGTGGTTTTTTCTTTCAGAACTACAGATATTGCCGTTAGATGTGAAATGTGCATTAGAAATCTACTGTATGAAAGCCGTGTTTTGACACTGTGTTTAACTTCAGTGGTTCAATTCCAGAATGAGAGTGCTCATGTGATTGCAAGAAAAAAAGCCTCTCATTTTTTCCAACATAGTCATATTATATCACCTTTTTTAACAGTGACTATAAATGAAGCAAAATTAAACCTTTGCTTCTGGATATTCCCACTGTATCGTTCAACATCTTCATTTTCTAAGTGGCTTTTTTGAACACTTCTGGAAAGAGATGCTCCGTTTCATTCAAATGTTTGTAATTCAGGGCTTGTCAAAAATTTAAAAACATTTAAAAAAATTGTCACATGTGATGAAATACTGACACCAAGAGACTTCTGTGAAGCCAAAATGAATTTTTCTGGCCAGCTTGGAATCCACATCTCTGCCATCAACAGGAAAGATGCTGGGACTGGAGTTTGTCAGGAACCCTTACTGATGCGTGTGGCAAAATCCATTCTATGTATAAATTTTTCAGTAATCTCTCCCTTGCCACCAACACATTACCGTCCAGTGAATTGCACTGAACACGTGTCATTCATTGGTTAAGAAGAGATCATATACACAGTGGTAACATGGCATCTTTCACTTCGTCATAACTAGATGATAATAGGATAATGTAATACAGATGCAATAGCCTGGCCATATTGTAGAGGTAATTTCTGTAAGCTGTGCTGCTTACGAAATTTGTGTGTTTTTAATTTGATAGGTGTACTAAAACTAATGCAAAATACTTTCTGCACATGCTTTTATTAATTTGGCTTAAGTGGGTAGCTTTCAAGCAAAGTTGACATGAGCCTTTCCCTTCAGTTAAACTAATACAAGTAACTGTGTAGACAAGCCCTCAGCAATGAGAGATTCTGTTTGTGATGTGAAGTGTACTTTGTGCACATACTCATCTTCAGTTAGTTTGGTTATAATGAACTTGGTCTTGTAGTACCAAAAAAGCCTTCCAAATAAACATATTAAGGTTTTTTTATCCCGAAGTGTAGAGCCGTGGATGCATACTTGGGAGGAGAAGGAGCAGTATCTGTATCTAAATGTGCAGAGATACTAGAATACGGTATGTCAATTAATGCAACGATTGCTTCCTTGCAGGCAGATATTATGGACATCAATGAAATTTTTAAAGATCTGGGAATGATGATTCATGAGCAAGGTGATGTGATAGGTAAGTCCAATTAAAATATTCTGTGAAAATTTTTTTATTGTGTTTCTCTGGAGATCAGCAAATGTAGAATGTCGTTTTGCTGGGAAAATTCCTCTAACGAGAGTATTAATGCGAAAGTAAATCAGGTGCAACCTAGTAATGGGTACACTGGTTGAAGTGACTGGGAATAGATTGGGAAAGTGTGTTTAAAGTGTAGTTTGAAACATTATGTAGTTTTAAATGTTTGTAAAATGTCTTTAAAAGTAGGTTTTTTAACTGTACATTAAATTGGAGTTTGCGTGGGGAGTTTTACTGTATTGACTAGTGACGTAAGCGTGCAGATTCAGCAAAGTTTCCTGCTTTGCCCTCCATGCAAACAGGTTTATTCTTTTAATGAAATGTGGTTGGAAAATACATTTTCTGAGTCTGCTGCTAAGCCATGCTGTTGTCTACATCCAGCATACATTTGTAGGGCTTTTTTTAATCACCCTAGCCCATAATCTGCTCACAGTAAAAGAGTAGAAGTACTGAAAGTTTCTGTCCCAGTCAGTATGTGAAGTTCAGCCCTGCTCCTAGAGCAAGGGAGCTGTCACTGACATGAATTCAGCCTGGGTGGTTCAGAAATGAACTCAGGAGTAAAGATAGGGTAGGTCAAACTTCCATAATGTACGATATAAAACTTTCGGTATCGATGAAGACACCAGCAGTTGGGGGACAGCTATTGCATATGCTTTAAAGTGTATTTCAGCATTCCAAGTCTTTGGCCGGGTTATTACTAACCAAAATTTGAAATGTTTCCTTTTAAAATAAAGACAGCATAGAAGCCAATGTGGAAAATGCAGAGGTACATGTGCAGCAAGCAAACCAGCAGCTGTCAAGAGCAGCAAACTACCAGGTAATGTCAATACCAGCTGCCAGCTGGGTGTATGTGTCCTTTCTCAGTAGTCCTGACTTCCACTTTTCATATGCAGTTCAGATTTTGCTTGTCAATTTCCTCAAGGCTTGGAGACTTACTTAAAGGTTTATATTAGACTATGGTGGTATTTCTAGGTCACTATAAAACAAAAGTCAGTGACCTCTGAAAGCTTTGGGTTTCCTGTAAAAGTAGCTAGGCTGTTTCAGAGCACCTGGAGTTATACCTTTATTAAAAAAAAAAAAAAAAAAAAAAGGGGAAAAAACCCCCATTCCTTTCACAGGTCAAAAAGTAAGAGGTTCCCATGTGTGGAGAGCAAGCCTCTAAAGATCACTGAAGGAGTAGGGAAGATATGCAGGCAAGTCTACTGAAGGTGCTGCCAGTTAGCACCAATTTTTGCTGTCTAGAATCTTCTCAAAGCTGTGTATATCCAACTTCTGTTAATTGCTACCCTGATGCTAAAAGCATATTTCAAACTTTTTCGAAAAGCCGTTTAAATACCTTTAAATGCCATTTCTTTATAACATTTTTGGAACTTAGTAGAAATAATCTTATTAGTAATAAATCTTCCCTCTTAAGTCAGAGTTAGTCCTTATACTTTTTTTTTTTAATCCTCTTATGTGTCTTAGTAGTAGCCAGTATAGTAAATCAATGACAAAGTGCCTGAAGGATTGTCTGCTGATTTCAGGAGAGGGAAAGGGGTGGATGCACCCTTGAACTGTATTCTAGGTGGCACTAATTGGCACATTAAGTGTGGTTGATGGCTCCTATTTTGATACTGATTAAGTTCAGGAAAAAAAATAGTAGCAGCCAAAATTCTCTGTGGAAGGTGTTAGTTTTCTAGTTGAAATGTTTTAGTTGAAATTTAGTTTTCTAGTTGAAATTTAAAATTTAAAACTTCGTGCTTTATCTTGAGGAGGAAAGGATGAAAATCTTGGGATCTCAAAGGAAGGTTATGCTTCTGTTCAGTGGGTCTTGCCGCAGAGACCAAACACTCGGCAGAGTTGGCCTGTGTTTGAAAGGGTTGTGTAGTTTGCTTTGGATTTGAACTTTCCTTTTCTTGAAAACTCGTGTTTGTTCCAAGCTGCTGAAAAATCATTTCCATTTCAGCGGACTTATTTTCATTTCGGCAGCTATTATATTGTACACCCTGACCCCCTCAGGGAAGTATTAGAGGCCCAGGCGTGCTGGCAGGGAGGAGGCTGCCCGTGGTTGGTACCCTCAGAACTCCTGTTTGTGATTAGGTGAGATAGGCACCACTCATCTGCCACATGGGGTGTGTTCGCACAGCAGAGCTGTCTGGGCGAAGCCAGGAACCTCTCTTGTCTTTCCCCCTTCACCAGTGCTGCTTCAGGACATGTAGGAATGATGATCAAGTGTATGAGGAAAGAACATCTCCGTGTCTTTAGTCCACTACCTTGCTGAAGTAGTGTTATAGGGGCAATGTTTGACTTCAGTTCAGCATTGGCAAGAGGTGGAAATGGAAGAGACTGGGAGTGTAAGGAGAGAACTGCTCACAGATTTTAAAACAAACAAAAAAAGGAAGGTACTCTAGCAAATGGATGGAGTTCTAGCAAGTAAAATGATGAAATGAAGAAATCTTAGCCTGACAATGGGAGAAGTGGCAAGAAGATAGGTAAAACTAGAAGAGAATAGTTAAGAAACTTGGTAGTCTGGGTAGTACTGGGCAGAGAACTGGCAGATGCAGTGAAGAACTGACACAGATGTAGTTCTTTGGGGGGGGGACAGACAACACCAAAAACACCCAGGCAGAATAACTGCCTCCAAATAGAGCAAAGCCTGGCTTTGCTTTTGGAGCTGTGGGCTAGAATCCCAAGATTTGAGTGTTGTTATCCCTTGGGTATCAGCAAAAGCCTGTGAAACACACTGGTAATTTCTTTTCCTGCTGTGAAGGAAACCTTCAGATTCCATATCCTTCAGATAAAGGATGACAGACTGCTGTTAGACTTGGGTGCTCTGGTATCTCAAGTTACAGACCTGTATGGAAGATGTGAAAGTTCTGGACATGCTCATAACTTGCACTTTGTTGTGGTGACATCTGTTTAACTGGGTCTCTAGTCAGGTCTCTGTTTTTTTGTGTTTGTTTTTTTTTTCTTAAGAGCAAGTGGTACCTAAGAAACTTCACAAAAACAACTTTAAAATAACTCTGTGAATAGATGCAAAGTCAATCTTCCGGAAGTCTAAAATTGCAGTCTTTTGTCCCCTGCTGTATATACATTAGTAGTCTTTTTAAATATCTTTCTAGCAGACCATTTCTACCTCCTCTGCTGTGCAGATTGTTTCTCCATTTTCCTTTGTATGTGGTCACCTGCTCTCTCACATTTTATTTCCCCCAGCATTCTAATTACATCCGTTCATTAGGTTACTGCATTCTCTTTCATTAGTTTATTATGTATGCCAGAAAATACCACTGAAATCGTTCTATTGAATAAAATAGCCATAAAAGTCAGTCATGGGTAAATTAGCTCTTTTTTTTTTTCTTGAACAACTTCACATGGCTTGTTGTTAGTAAGGACACAATTTGGTTAGATTGCGCAAGACCATAAAAGCATTTGAGTAGTCTTCTGATGTGGTGGTGCAGTTTTCAATCAACTTGTTTTTTTCTGTGTTGGCAGCAAAAGTCCCGAAAGAAGATGTGCATCCTCATGATTATACTTGCTGTTGGAGTATTGCTTGTTGGACTCATCATATGGTTATCTACAAGATAAGTCTCTGGAGAAAGCGTTGTAATTGGTATTTAAATTATGAAAGGAAGTTCCTAGTTGTGGTTTGCTCGTTGTGAAGCTGAGTAGAATAATGGTTCTGTACTTCATCTCACTGATTTTTTTAATAAGACTTATTGTTTTAACATGAGAAGTAACGTTCTCGGTACTACTGTCAGTATAACTGCCTGCCCTCTTGGATGTGAGTGCTGTCTTACCAGAAAAAAAACAGTCAAGATCACGAACTTTTCTGTTAACTTAAACATTAAAACCTCTTAAGGTTTAGGGGGGCTAATCAAAATTCTGATAATTTGTCTTGAAGGGGTGGGTAATTATATTTTGGAATATTACTAAATGTTGCTGCCAAAACAAACTCCTGAATTGTTGCCTGAGGCAAAAAACTTCACATCTCCCAAATTTATTTTTAAGTTAGAAATGTCTTTTCTATGCCTTTCCCTTCTCTCCCACTCACCTACCCATTTGATATGGGTGGTTCAAAAATGAAATGTAGGTTGCTGAAGTTGGTGTGATCTCTCTTTTACAACTGAAGCCGTTGAATTAAGCCTTCAGTTTGCCTGAAACCTTTTAGATGCTTCATGTATCTCTGTATCTGGCGTTGAGTATGGTTATGCCTGGAAGCCGCCTGAAAAGCTAGCTAGGGTGGAAGATACAATCATACGGATTTTTTGTTTCAGTTCTTACAGTATTTCATAATGCGTTTTGTGTGCACATGTCTGGTATCTTTGCATCTGAGGTGTGCATCAATTACCTTGGCTAGATGAAAATAAGCTCTAGTCTGTGAATTCTTAGACTTACTGGGAAGAATAGAAATTCCCAACTTCCTAACTGCACTTGAATCTTACTGTTCTGAAACTGCTGTGATTCGGTTTCCATGAACAGATCCAAAGTTGTATGTGAGGTCTTTCGTACAGCTGAAGAAAAGAAGATTACTAGTTCAATTCCAAGCTCAACAGTGGTATTTGAAATTAAGTTGAAATTGGTTGAACTGAATCGAACTGTTTAAGATGTTTGATGCATATAGCCTTTAAAATGACCTTTTTCCTTTTGTGCCATTTTGTACTAATGTATTAAAAATGTAACAACACTTTTTTGCCAGTTAATCTATTTTCCTTTTTAATTGATATTGGTGAACTAATCTGAAAAGTATACAGATGAAAAAGTCACTTAATCTGTATTTTATAAAGTTCTTGTACACTAGACTGATAGAGAATGCACTGTTTACATGGTCAGCTATGAAATATTATTTGGGAACAATCTAACTGCAAGCATACATGGACTTCAGAATTGTAACCATACAACCAAAATAAAGATCTTTTAAGGAGTGTGTTTTTCTAGTAGTTCCTTTGTTTCAGAATCTGTCTTTACAAGTAAAGCTGTCGTCTTTGCCTTGATGTAAATGACAGAGACTTTTCTGAAGAGCTGCAGAGAAGGTCAGCTCTGCTGGCTAATCAGCCCAGAGGGACCCCTGTTCCTGTGCGGCGCTTCCCTCCGTTAGTGAAAACGCTCCTGGGTTTTGCATTCCCACCTGTGTGCGCCCAGTCTGAGGAGCAGAGGCTGCTTTGCTCTGTGGGGCTGCTGACAGCGGGTGCTGAGGGCAGGCTGTTGCTGGCTCTCCTTCAGCACAGCATGCAGCTTTCGAGGGATGGGAACCCGTGATGCGGTAAGGAGGGTGGTGCCGCTGTACTGGGATTCCCAAAAGCAATGGAGGAAAAATAAGTCCTGTGAAACTGCATCATTGTGGTCTATGTAACGTGGAAAACATCTCTGAGGTTCAAAGGGGAATTTAATTTTCGTGTAAGTCGCAGCATGGAGTCTTGTGTGTTGAGATCCCAGCCACCATATTCTGTGGCTGCCCTCGTGCTGTGAGCGAGGCTGGGCCTCCATTACCCTTACCTGTTAAAGAACGTCAGACACCAAGGCTGGTAGTGGCCCGAAGCGTAAGGCTGGCGCTAGTAATGCTAACGCCTTTTTATTGTTTTCAGACTAGGGTAGTCGGCACTAGAAGAGCAGTCATCATTTTGGCTGAGTACCTTTCTCACCAGTGAGCTCTCGAAAACCAACTTTGAAAGTTTCTTGACCTTAGTAGTTAGCAAACTTTTTACACTATTGCAGACAGGCACAGAGGAATGGCCTGATCCTGCTGGCCCAGGAGATCCTTTTCTCTGTTGCTGTACGTCCTACCTGCTGCTGTCAATGACTGGCGGATTCCGCTGACATGCTTGGGGTGGAAAAGCAGCACTGCAGCAGCAGATCTTCAGCTCTGACTCCTGGCAGATTGGAAATTCTGTCTGTGCTTGATGCTTGTCACATTTCATATGCATTGCAATTTGTTTTTCTGCTGGGAGGGTTCTCTACTCAAAGGCTTATCAAGAATATTGCTCATCTTGAGATGAAATGGTATATTTTATGATTGCCTCTTTACCTTACAAAGGCGTGGGTGCCTGCCTTATTAAGTTTATCCAGCAGTGACTGCAAAGCAGCGTAGCTGGTACCTCAAGGTTCATCCCTCGGGAGCTGGTGAGAGTCAGGCTGGGGCATCAATCTCGAATTACTTAGAAAATTCTGCAAGTTGCACAAGATTGCATTTCCCAGCCCCCCCACTGCATCCTGCTGCTGTTCTGTGTCCGGTTTGGCCGCATGTCTTAGTGTCCCACATGCAGTCATCTCTCTCTTTACAGATGGTCACTGCGCCTGACCTATTCGACTGCTCTCCGGTGGTAGGGGCTCGGGCACTACCAGGGCAAAGAGCGCTGCTGAGAGCCACGGTGCTTTATTTATCAGTACAGGCTTGGGGCGGATCTGCTGGAGAGCAGCTCTGTGGAGAGGGACCTGGGTGTCCTGGTGGACAGCAGGTTAACTATGAGCCAGCAGTGTGTCCTGGCTGCCAAGAAGGCCAATGCCATCCTGGGGTTCATTAGGAGTGTGGCCAGCAGCTTGAGGGAGGTTCTCTTCCCCCTCTACTCTGCCCTAGTAATGCCCCATCTGGAGTACTGCGTCCAGTTCTGGGCTCCCCACTTCAAGAAAGATGAGGAGCTACTGGAGACAGTCCAGTGGAGGGCTATGAGGATGATGAGGGGACTGGAGCATCTCTCCGATGAGGAGAGGCTGAGGGAGCTGGGCTTG